CTCCAGGACTATAAGGAAGGGATGGGTAGAAGCACGCTTAGAGGTCGTTAATCAAACTCGCTTATATAACCATTAAGGGGGTAATGGGTAGTAAAGGGATATGATGACCTGCGCGCTAATATCACGTGTAGCCCCTCTAGTTGAGGAGGATTACCGGGCACTGCACAGATTGATCCTGTAGGCAAATCAACTTAGGACTCTCTTTTTTCCCAATTTCTCTATGTGTTTAAATTATCTAAACTCCCCTTTCTTTACATATGCATGTGTAAGCTGTCCAAACCTCTTTACCTTCATTATCTGAACTTCCTTGATCATATATGCATTTTGACGGGGAAAAACTACTTTATTTGTAAATACGTGCTTACTTGTTAATTGACTAATTCACATAGTTTAAGTTCGGCCGGGACCACCGTTGTAGACCGCGAGGGGTGCCTAACACCTTCCCCTCAAGGTTATTTCGAGCCCTTACCCTAATCTCTGGTAATACAAACTAGTTATATGAGTTAATCGCTCTAGGTGCTCTAACGCACCTCAATCCGTTAGGTGGCGACTCTTCAAATACCTAATTCCCAAAAGAAAACGAGTTGTTCCACCATGAATGTCGAAACCCGGACTCCACGAAGGACAAAGAGGGCGCAACACCTGGTCAATAGGGCTGCTATAGATGAAAACCCCTCCATAAACCGACGGTAATAACCCGCCAATCCCAAGAAACTATGGATCTCTGTGGCTGAAGTAGGCCTAGGCCAATTCTGAACGGCCTCAATCTTTTTAGGATCCACCTGAATACCCTCTGCTGATACAACGTGACCTAAGAAAGCAACTGAACTCAACCAAAACTCACATTTTGAAAACTTAGCATATAGCTGGCTGTCTCTCAGAGTCTGAAGTACAATCTGAAGATGCTGCTCATACTCCTCTCGACTGCGGGAGTAGATCAAGATGTATCAATAAAAATAATCACAAAGGAATCCAGATAGGGCTTGAACACCCAGTTCATCAAATCCATAAATGATGCTGGGGCATTTGTCAGCCCAAATGGCATCACTAGAAACTCATAATGCCCATACCGAGTCCGAAAACCTGTCTTAGGGACATCGGATTCCCTAATCCTCAATTGATGGTAGCCAGAACTCAAATCGATCTTTGAAAACACCTTGGCATCTTGAAGCTGATCAAATAAGTCATCAATCCTCGGCAATGGATACTTTTTGTTGATGGTGACGTTATTCAACTACCGATAGTCTATGCACATCTTCACCGACCCATCCTTCTTCTATACAAACAACACCGGCGCACCCCAGGGCGAGACACTAGGTCTAATAAAGCCCTTATCAAGCAAATCTTGCAATTGCTCCTTCAATTTTTTCAACTCTGGCGGGGCCATGCGGTATGACGGAATAGAAATGGGCTGAGTGCCTAGAGCCAAATCAATGCAAAAGTCAATATCCCTGTCGGGTGGCATCCTCGGCAGGTCTGCATGAAATACCTTTGGGAATTCCCGAACAACTGGTACAGAATCCATGGAAGGAACCTCCGCACTAGAATCACGAACATAAGCCAAATAAGCCAAACACCCCTTCTCAACCATACGCCGAGCCTTCATATAAGAGATAACCCTGCTGGTAGNTATATTAGCCTATCTACTGCTTTATCTAGCATGCTTAAATTCTGCCTTGTTCAAATGTATGATTATCATGTCTATACTTCACCTGTTATCTGATGCTTGCCTGTTTGCAATTCATGTTCAATCCCTTAACTATGTGATCATGCTATGACCCTACTTGTGTGTCTAATTCTGTCTTCCACATCTTTGCTCCATGTTTAGTTGCCTGCTATCCTGGTTAATTTAGTAAGACTGTGAAGATCCTAAGTATTCTATGTTGTCTACATGCCTCCCTGCCCCTATTCATGTACCTTCAATAAGATTCCTATATGTTCCCAATCCCCTTTTCACCCCTGTGTGCAAGCCTGCCTGCTATAGTACTTGTGAGTTTGAAACCTTCTATAACTTACTGGCTGTCTACTTAATTTGCTCTCTTCTAAACTATTTTTCAAATGCTGTCAGTATTCTTTTAAAAAACTAGCTTTCATTACTAGTATTTTCTCAAAACTGGTCTAGAAAACCTTCTTCACTCCTAAACTGTTTTCACTAAATCTTTCAAACTACGTCAAGCACTCTCACTTACTCCTAGGTTATTAAGTTCTGCCCCTCTGGTATGTGTACTGCTTAGAGATCCTTGAGATCGCTCTGAACTCGGGCATATGAGGGCTGGCTCTTCCACACTGCACATAATCAGTCTTTATTTGAGAAAGTCTGGGTGTGAGCACTGTCCGGGATCCTTGAGGTCCTTAGGGAACTCTAACATACCTGGACACAAATGTGGCAATGAAATCTTTGGCATTTGAGACTACTGAAGGCCTGGTACCCCAGGTTTTCTTATGGCCTGCATCAGGCTCCCTATAGCTTAATTTATATTGCATCTATGTAATTTATTTAATTCTGGTATGTAATAATTATTTGTAAACAAATACTGGGGTAACTAGTGAAACGGGTGGGTAGTTGTATGATACTGTGGGTAAAACTGGGTAGGAAATATGCTATAGGCTCTATATTCTGCAAATCTACATTAGAAGCCATGTTCTAGGATTACTGTGTTTATTTGCATTCTAACCATGTTGAACTTGTGCATTAGATATCCTGCTTTTAGGGCCTTCACTTTTACTGCTTCAGCATGTTGCATGCTCAATTCCTAAGTACTGTCACATAGACATCCTGCTATCTAATAATCTTAATAAAACTGTCATTCTTGTATGCATTAGATACCATGTTCTTAGGAACTCTGTATGCATCTGTTTGAACCACGTCTATCTCGATTAAATCAGTAGCTGTCCATGAAAAGGTTTAAAAACAAGCTCACGTATAGGTATCATATCACCTGTTATAACCTGTATCACCTAGATCAGCATGCTCATAGGTTGAACAATCTCCAACTATTCAAACAGTTCCTGTAATTGTGATCACGTATAGTCCCCACGCCTAGGCAAGCCTTAGGTGGTCAATGTCCTTATAAAACTAGAAAGTGCGTTTCAATTGTGTATAAACTGCTTAAGTCTCACAGGTTTAAAACCAATAAGCGAACTGACTTGGACCCTGCCATTGAGTTCTGAAATATCGTTGCAAGATCTGCGTACTGATGTTCACCTAGATATCCTGTCCTAGGATTCTTTCTTGAAATTACCTGAATCTGTGTTTTAGACGTGCTGTTTATTTGCCTATATGCATACGGAGGTAAACATGAGCCTTTTAATTGCTTTTTTTCCTATTTGCTTGTCCTACGTGTTATTTGTTTGTCGCCTAGATTTTTGCCTTTTAAATACCTTAGGTTTGTCTAGAACTGCCCAAATTTAGAGGTCCTAAGCTCCTCCAAGACTATAAGGAAGGGACGGGTAGCAGAACGTTTAGAGGTAATTAATCAAACTCGCTTATATATATAACCATTAAGGGGGTAATGGGTAGTAAAGAGATATGATGACCTACGCGCTAATGTCACCTGTAGCCCCTCTAGTTGAGGAGAATTACCGGGCATTGCACAGATTGACCCTGTAGGCAAATCAACTTAGGACTCCCCTTTTCCCAATTTCTATATGTGTTTAAATTATCTAAACTCCCCTTTCTTTACGTATGCATGTGTAAGCTGTCCAAACCTCTTTACCTTCATTATCTGAACTTCCTTGATCATATATGCATTTAGATGGGGAAAACTACTTTATTTGTAAATACGTGCTTACTTGTTAATTAACTAATTCACATAGTTTAAGTTCGGCTGGGACCTACCGTTGTGGACCGCGAGGGGTGCCTAACACCTTCCCCTCAAGGTTATTTCGAGCCCTTACCCTAATCTCTGGTAATGCAAACTAGTTATACGAGTTAATCATTCTAGGTGCCCTAACGCACCTTAATCCGTTAGGTGGCGACTCTTCAAATACCCAATTCCCAAAAGGAAACGAGTTGTTCCCCCATGAATGTCGGACTCCGCGAAGGAAAAAGGGGGCGCGACACCGTGAAAACAACCTCTGGCAGGAATGCAGAGTAAGGTTGCGTACACTAGCCTCTTATGGTTAAGCCCTTCACCAGACACCACGCATAACAGAAGCTTGTTGCACCAGACTGCTTCAAAAAAAGTGAATAGTCAATGTTTGGCCATAAAAATTTCAAAATTTACTTGAAGTTGAATTTCGGTATTTTTTGAAAATTTGAAAAATTCCAAAAAGCTATTTTTTAAAATTTTCACTTCAAATCACTCACAAAAATTCAAAAATAGCTCTAAATTGTATTCATGTCCAAATACACTCTAATTTGAAAATATCATTTTCACTTGAATTTTTTTTAATTTTTTCAAAAATTTCACATTTCTTATGTGCAAACGCCCACTAAATCACAATAAACTATTAGCTAAAAATTTATTTCTCAAGACTAAACTCAAGCAAATACTTACATAAACAACTGTTATCCAAATTAAAACCAAACGACATAGTAAAAACTTTTTTTTTTTTTTTTTTGCAAGAACAAATATAAAAAGCCAAAAGAAAAAAGAAAAAAGGGAAAACTAAACGAAATGAGAAGGAGGGCAGACATCGTAAATATAAACAAAACCGAGGGCAATTTACTAGTAACCGAGCAACGCGCAATATACACAGTTGTATCTTTTTTTGAGACGTAAAAGAAAACGTGTTTGAATTATGGGTTACTTTCGTTTTTTCTTTGTCCATACTTTAATAATTCCATTTCCCTTTTCAAATCAATTTGAACCAAACAAACAAACAAAGTTTTACTACATTAATGTACTAAAAACCCCACGTGTTCCTCGTTCATGCATTAATTCTTACAACAAATAGGTATAGCCACCCACCTCCCCTCTTACCCACCCACCCCACCACTCAACCCCTACCCCCTCCCTATCTCTCTCTTTTTGATATATATACACATTGTACTCAAAACAGATTCTTCATCAAATAGTTCCAAATTTATTTCAACTTACAAATATCTTTCTTAACCTTATTACAGATTCTTGATATTTAGTTTTTTGCTACCGGAAAACAAAATGGGGTTATCGGAGATTGTAGATTCCGGCAAGGTCACCGGCCAGAAGTCTCAGTTTTCTCAGACTTGTAATCTTTTGAGTCAATTCTTGAAGAAAAAAGGTTCTTTTGGAGATCTTAATAATCTTGGTATTTACCGCAGTTTTGAACCAACTGGTATGTTCTTTATATCCATTTACTCTTTATCCTCTCCTTAAAAAATGAACTTTAAATCAATAGCTGTTTTCTGTTATCATTTGCTAGATAGGGTGTTAGCGAGCTAGGATTTTAAGTTTATGGGATCACGATTATAGGAAAGACGGCTCAGTGGGGTTCTGGATAAAATATTTATACATCAAAATACGGAGTTTGAGTCAAAACTACTAGGTTATGCTGAATCGTATGCAGTACACTAGATCCGCCCATGTTAGCTAGTATTCCCTCCTCCTTAATTTGTGTGTCGATGTTTAACTGAACACGAAGTTTGAGAAAAAATTAAAACAATTATATTGAAGCTAGTGAATCTATAGAGGAGCTAAGATTTTAAGTATGTGAGTTCTTGGTTATAGAAAAGACAGCTTACTGAGTTCTGGATAAATTATTTATATATATTAAATAATTTTTTCTAATAAAATACAGAGTTTGGGTCAAAGTTAAAGAGTTATGCTGAACCTGTATGCAGTACACTAGATCTGCCCATGTTAGCTAGTATTCCCACCTTCTTAATTTGTGTGTCGGTGTTGAACTGAGTACGAAATTTAAGAAAAAATTAAAAAAACTCGAAAACTTGTGAATGTATCGAGAGAGTCTGAATTCTAATTTTATGTGTTCTGAATTTTAGAACAACGATTTCAAGTACTATTAACTGGATTCTAAATTTAATATTTGTATATTTTTGATGAATTTTTTTAACACAAATATATTGTTCAAATTAAAGGGGCTTCTAGCTCCGCCCTTGCTTGTGATGCATAACATGAAATATACATAATTTAGAGTTAAATCATTTCTAAATGTAAAAATGTGCGATTCTTTCTAGGATAGACTAAAAAGAAAAACAGTTATTCTGGTTTCAAGATTTCAGCTTCTTTTTTTTTTTTTTTTTTTTTTTTAGAAATTGGAGGAGTTTTTTCTGATGTATTTTTCTCTTATTTCTTGAAACAGGAAACCAAACAACTACCACTACTATGAATTTATTGCCAATGATTGAAAAATCAGGTGATTCAGCTGAGAAAAAATCTCAAAAACCAATGAATCTTTTTCCTCAAGAAGTTATTTCTACTACAAAATCTGAACCAGAAAAGGCACAAATGACAATATTTTATGGTGGTCAAGTTATTGTATTTGATGATTTTCCAGCAGCTAAGGCAAATGAAATCATGAAATTGGCTAGCAAGAAAAACAACAACAACAACAAACAGAATTTGGCTACTAACATATTTTCTTATCCTATGGTAAATAATCAAAATTCAGCTGAATCTGTTACTACCAATTTGACTCAAGAACTTCGTTCGCGAACTCACGTGCCAATATCACAATCATCTGTTGCTGATTTACCGATTGCGAGACGAAATTCACTTACAAGATTTTTGGAGAAAAGAAAAGATAGAATTACTTCCACTGCACCATATCAAATTTGCAACAAAAATGCAGCTTCTGCTAAGAATGAGGAAAATAAGGCATGGCTTGGATTAGGTGGTAAATTTGTTCCAGTGAAAACTGAGCAGTTCTTTTAGTTATTTTGGTAATACTACTGGTAGACGGGGAGCCTTGGCGTAACTGATGAAGTTGCTGCTATGTGACCAGGAGGTCAGGGGTTTGAGCCGTGGAAACAACCTCTTGTAGAAATATAGGTAGGCTGCGTACAATAGACCCTTGTGGTTTGGCCCTTCCTCAGACTCCGCACGTAGCAGGAGCTTAGTGCACTGGGCTGCCCTTTTTTTCATTTACTACTAGTAATTGACAAAGTATTTTTCAAGTTTTTTTGCTCTTGGTTTCAAGCTTGATTGAAGCCAATATTATCTAACTAGATCTGATTTACTATTATTGAGACATTTTTTGTAATTAAGACTAAAGGATGTTTGTTCAGTATTTTATATGTAAATTCATCAACTTTCATTGATTTGTTATATTGTCCTAAGGCAAATTACTTTGCTTTTCCATTTGTATTTTGTGTTTTAGTATTTCTTGTATGGTTCTATTGTTTTTTGATAAAAAGCAATACATGATTTCTTTTCCAAGATTTTGAAGGTATTTGGAAATAATTCATTCCCTTTAAAGGAAGAGCTCAAATTGTAGTTTCTATCATAGATAAGAAAATTATAGAAGTAAAGGAAAAAAATCTAATAAAATAAATATAGCATATACTAGCATTCGACGGTCGACCTAGTGGTTAATGAAATGCATGAAAATCATAGGAGAAGAATAGGGTTCCTGTACTGACAAAATTCTTTAAATAATTTCTAAGATATGAATAAATAGCAGATATCCAGTGAAATATAGTTGAATCCGGCACCGCTTTTGCCTATATATATATAAAAAAGCATATACAAAAACTAAAACTAAGATGGTAATGGAAATAATCAAACAAGCCACAATTACAAGTGGGGTAAGGTCAAACATGCCTGCTTGAAATATTTTAATGTTTTTTTTTTTTATATAATGGTTTGTTATGATCTGTGATATTGTATAATTGGTTTGGTATGACTATCTTGTTGGCCTCCAATAATTGACCAAACACTATTTGAGAAAATTTTGCACGTTTTGCTTTTCGTCCCCCCCCCGTC